TTTTTTTTATATTAAATGTTTGAAGTTTGTATTCTCTTTGGTTTTTGCCCGCAATTAATACACCATAGAGGTTTCAAGCAGTTTTATTTTATTTTGTGTTCTCTTTTTTTATTAATGTGCATTTGACAGAACACCTGCTAGAATAGTTACTGCTCTATTCCAGTTCACGTCACAATAGAAATCAATGACTAGACGACAAAAATTAGACAAGAAAGAAAAGGGTGGGCAGACTGCATTTTCTTGGACTGTCAGAAAGCCTTCGTCATATTACCCCATAAAAGGCTGTTACAAAACTTGGAGAAACAGGCAAGGTAAGGTTCTCCAGTGGATAAAGGAGCATCTAAGTTGAAGGAAACAGCGAGTAACTGTGAGGGGGGGGGGGAGACATCAGAGTGGCGAGATGTCTCTTGCCACTCCCTGCCACTATTCAGAAAGTGGCGAGAGACATTCCCTGAGTACTCAAGCGACTCCCTGAGCCCCTCCCTGCCCTCAAACCTAGAGCACTCCCTACCCCTCCACCCCTAGAAATTCTTCCTGTCCCAAGCAGGCCCGGGCAATTTCTAAGCCCTCTCCCCTCCCCACCCCCGAACCACTTGGGCTCGACGGTAGAGCGACAGTCTCGCTTCATTTAAGTCGGCGTTCAATCGCCGACTGTCCAAGTGATTGGGCATCATTCCTTCCCCCGTCCCATACCAAATCCTTATCCTGACCCCCTTTCCCAGTGCTATATATTCGTAATGGCTTGGCGCTCTCTCCTGATAATTCCCTCCCTCCACTACCACCCCTCCTCCCCCATCCCCATCCCCCCACCCCTCCTCCAACCACCCCACCAGCCCCGAAACCCCTGGTAACTACCCCACTGGAGGATGAGCCTACCCAAGTAGCACTGCCCATGGAATGGCTTCTTACACTAGTGGGGAGTGTGGGTGAAAATGGATATAGGAAAGTGAGCTTCAAGGTATTGTACTCAAACATCGATGGGTTTACCAAAAAAGCAAATGATCTGGCAGAAAGGGCACAGGTAGAAAACCCAGATGTAATAGGACTCACAGAAACAAAATTGTCAGGAGTAATAACAAATGCTGTGCTTCCAAAGGACAACTATATAGTAGGCAAAGAGAGAGAGAAGGGAGAGGAGGAGGAGTGGCCCTGCTGATAAGGAAGGACTGGAGCTTTGAAGAGAGGGAGATTCCGGGCTGTGAAGGATTCAGACAATACATAACAGGAACTATGACAATGGGTGAACCTAAGATAATAGTAGCAGTCATTTACAACCCTTCACTAAATGACAGAAGACCCAGACAGGAGTTCGACAGGAACAACATGGCAACCAATAATATAATAGAGATAGCAGCTTCAGTTTCCTGCAGGAATGTATCCAGACTCTAAATCATGAGCGATTTTAGCTATGGAAAGATAGACTGGGAGAATGGGGACCCACATGGATGTGAAGATAAATAGAGAGTTAAACTCTTGTAATTGGCAACAAGGAACTTTCTGAGCCAACATGTCAAGAATGTTGACATGTTGGCAACCCACAAGAATGAGAGGGAATGATGAACCAGCTAGACTCGACTTGATATTCACCTTGAATGAATCAGAAATAAGAAATAAGTGGGTATCTGGTAGAGGTAGGGATAACCTATCCAAGGATGGGATTGGAAGGGAAAAGACTGAATTACCAAAGAGGAAAATATGACGAGATGAGGACCTTCCTAATGGGAATACCATGGGAAACAGAACTCAGGGAGAAGACTATACAGGATATGAATGACAATATATCACCCAGAAGTGCCAGGAAGCTTCAGACAGTTTTATCCCGGCCCAAAAAGAGAAAAATGAGAACAACAGAAGAATTCATGTTTTTTCAGGAATGTATGGTAACGAAGCAATTGAGTAAGGAAACATGGAGAAACTACAGGAATGAAAGAACACCAGAGAGCAGGGATAGATAACAGAGGGCCAGAAATGAGTACCTCAGAGTGTGGAGAGAATCAGAGAAACAGTATGAAAATAACATTGTGAGTAAAGCTAAGACCTAACCAAAACTTCTCAGCCATATCAGGAAGAAAATAGCAGTGAAGGAACAAGTGATGAGATAGAGAAAAAGGAGATAACAGATACACAGAGAATGACAAGGAGGTGTATGAAGAACTCAAAAAGAGATCTCTGACTGGGCACAACTTGTGAAATGCTAAGTGTTGGCTGTCACTGTGGGAACCGACCTGTGAGATTTATATTTATTTAATTTATATGAATTTATATAGAATTTATATTTACATTAATTTATATACTTCGATAGCAATTTGTATAATGATAAGTGGACTGTATTTCTGCAATAATCTCATAATCTCACAAATCGATCCTCTACACATTAGGTGGGTTTATTAAATTTATATATATGCAGCCAATCAAACTACAGTAATAGACTACATACATTGAAGAGGTTCCTTATCTTATAGTACAGCAGGCCTTAGTCCACCAGGTATAACCAGGATATAGACACCACATTTTCCCTCTTTGAGGTAGCTTCCATCACCCTGGTAACTGATGCACAAAGCATGCTTCCTCGTCTTGACCTGACAAAAGGGTGCTAGCTGTAAAGCCAGATTCCTAATATATGACAAGCTATATCAGAGAAAACACTGTACATGGAACAATGAAGACCTGGCTTAATTACCTTTAGTATGAGGCTATCTCATGCTCTAACCGGGTCACCTTATATCCAGACATTAATGGCCATAAATGAAAGATAAATGGGTTTCGGAAGAACACTTAACTTGATTTGTTGACAGCGTGTTGATAATGGTACACCTTTGGTTTCCATAACACTACGTCCAAGTAAAATTAACAGGAGCCGTATTTGCTCTCGTGAGCCTCCGTGGTCTTAGTATAAACAATGGCTGCCACTCCTTCCTCACTCCTGATGCCTGGCTTACATTGTCCAGATGACAGAAAGTGATAGAAGGGTCACATTTACTCTACTTTAATATTGATAATTAAGTTAATTTATATGAGATGTTTTTACGATGGTAAAGTCCAAAGACTAATGTATTTAAGAATAATTCCCACCATAATAGGTGGTGAATTTAAAATAGTATGTGGTAATGATATTCCGTTTTCTATAGACGGTAATTCCACTACAAGTTACGTTTTCTATGGGTTAACTTGTTTATACAACACAGCTATTATGTCTGTATGATTATTAAATGGTGTCGGATTTTCCGACAGTCACAACACGGACATTTTTATGTAGTAATGGTGCAGCTACTCCAGAAGTATTCCAGTGTACAGAACTTGCAACAGTACTTTGAGTCTATGCAAGATGTTGTGACTTGTGTAAACTGATGACATTTGATACATTGCACTAAATTCAGAAATTAGACTGTACTAATGTAGTTAGTAGTGCTGCTACTATAGAGGACTTTGGTTCCTTGTTGTAATAGGTTGTGAGCTTCTGGTGGGGATGATCACCACTACTCCATGTGGGGTGGTAGGCATTATTGTGGCCTTCAGTGTTCTGGGTACCACTACTCCATGTAGGGTGGTAGGCATTATTGTGGCCTGCAGTGTTCTGGGTACCACTACTCCATGTGGGGTGGTAGGCATTATGGTGGCCTGCAGTGTTCTGGCTACCACTACTCCATGTGGGGTGGTAGGCATTATGGTGGCCTTCAGTGTTCTGGGTACCACTACTCCATGTAGGGTGGTAGGCATTATTGTGGCCTTCAGTGTTCTGGGTACCACTACTCCATGTAGGGTGGTAGGCATTATTGTGGCCTGCAGTGTTCTGGGTACCACTACTCCATGTGGGGTGGTAGGCATTATGGTGGCCTGCAGTGTTCTGGCTACCACTACTCCATGTGGGGTGGTAGGCATTATGGTGGCCTTCAGTGTTCTGGGTACCACTACTCCATGTGGGGTGGTAGGCATTATGGTGGCCTTCAGTGTTCTGGGTACCACTACTCCATGTAGGGTGGTAGGCATTATTGTGGCCTGCAGTGTTCTGGCTACCACTACTCCATGTGGGGTGGTAGGCATTATGGTGGCCTGCAGTGTTCTGGCTACCACTACTCCATGAGAACTACGATGGTATATACAGACTGGTCAATAAGTGTTTCAGCTTGTGCGACATGGATGTGTCAATTACTTATTACCCAGGCAACATTTTCATAACAGTTAAGCTGGAATATTTATCATTATTAACCTTTTATAGACTTACCATTATTAGATATTTTATAACAATTGATTAAATTTGATTCGGTTTAATATAATTAAAACCCCATGAACTTGCTAGGAAAGCTGCTTGTGGGAAATTTAGAATCAGCCAGTCCACTATAGAATCATACAGTCCGCGATCGTAAGAAATAATTTAATATAGAAATTATAAATAAATTAATTAATTAATAACAGTTATTAACATAAATAATTAAAATCCCTCGTGTCAATTTTCCCCACAACTTTTGCTTCACATTTTGTAAATATATCTTAAAATTAAAAGTCCTAATTTATGTTATATATAATCATAGTTATTGCTAATCAATTATTGCAAGCTAATTTAGAAAATTATATATATATATATATATATATATATATATATATATATATATATATATATATATATATATATACCTGTACATTTGTGAATACATATATGAATGTCTATTATTAAGGACAAACAAACTTGGCCAACTCATAATGAATAATTATTAATATCATTTAATTCTATATGAACCATATTATTAGACTCATTGTATATAAGTATCTCACACTCATATGTGACGATCATTACTAAACGTGATACATGGAGCAGTATTCTGTCAGGAAAAGCTGTCAAAAGCTTTTCCTCACAGAAAACGTTCGTACAGTACACTAACGATAGTGTTTCCTTTAACTTACTGGAAAATATTGACTTCATTCACAATGGTGCAATATCAAATCACATTAGTATTAATATAATTTCTTATATGAGAAACAACCATTCGTATCTGGATCTGCAGGCGGGACTATACAACAAGTGGGTTGAGGAGATGTTGGAGAGATCGAAGCAGGAGAGTCGCAGGAGAGCACAGGAGTCGCAGAGGCCGGCGGCGGCCCATGACGAGACTGATCACACCAGGAACCAGGCTCTCACCCTTCACCACATGCAGGCTCCTTTCTACCTACTCGTCATGGGCCTCTCTTCCTCTCTCCTTGTCTTTGTCCTCGAACTTTTCTGCATAATTTTGACCTAATATAGATGGAACTTTCCCCTCCTGCCATCAGGAATCATTCTCACCCAGAGTTTCACCAAGTGACTAAAAGCAGCTTTAGTGTTCTAAGTATTTACAGGCTTTATCTTACTGTTTTAGAGTATCAGCTACTTTTGAGAAATGAGGATATAATTAAATAGTTCTATAACCATGACATAAATGATTGTTGACTTAGAAGGCATTACAGTTATTATATATATTTGCTGACAAGCTTATTACATAATGTTTTGTATTATATTAACTTGGATTTATGTTCGATTCTATTTAGCATTTTTGAATTTATGTTTTACTTTGAATTAAAGTTTGCAAGGATGCAAATTATTGTCTTCCTTGTGCTTTAGCATTAGCACCTGATAATTAAGACTTAGACATGCTTAAACACACACATAATATATATATTATATATATATATATATATATATATATATATATATATATATATATATATATATATATATATATATATTTATATTTATATTATTAAATATGACCGAAAAAGTAAGATTAATAATTCTAACACGAATTTTCTTAATCTTTCGTACATTTCTTTTCACTGTTGGAGGTAAATCAAAAATCAATTCTCCAAAATTCATTTTTATTTCTAATCTGACGCGACACGAGCGCCTTTCGTAAAACTTATTACATTTTCAAAGACTTTTAGTTTACAAATACACAACTGAATAGAACTTACACATCTCCTTGTTTCGTTTATATCTACATTTGAGTGAGGTGGATGGGGTGAGGTGGCATTAATAGGGTATTAATTTCATCAACACAAGACAGAACAAGGCAGCCAGTCTCCATACTGTGAAGTTTGCTGCAGCTGTTGTGACGTCGTCCCCCCGGAAGAACACTGTGGTGTGTTAAGCCTGCCAGTGGAGTGGCAGTGGAAGGATTTACCCGGGACCGACGGTTTGAGACGATAATCCACTGGGGTATTGAGGACAGGAGGGTGATTGGTGATATCACACGAGGACTCCTGTCTAGGGCGTACTACCCTTTTATCGTTCGTGGAGTGGCCGTACCAGCCTTGGTGGCTCAGTACCTGCCAGCCGACCTGCTGGACGTGTGGTTGACGGCCTCCACGACGGTGCCCCAGTGGACCTGTGTTTGGCTGACCTGTGGCCAGGGTAGGCTCGGCGTTCCAGAGACCACGTCTTGAGGCCACGAAAGAAAGCACCGCGGACTCAGCACCTTGCTTCTTAATCAAGAGTCTTCAGCAGAAGACTAGATGTGCACGATCCCCTTGTATAGTGTTAATACCCTCCCCTTGTGCACGTTTGATCTATTATAGGTGGCATTAATACGGTATTAATTTCATCAACACAAGACAGAACACGAAACAATGGGTATTGAAATGGAAGTGATTGTAGAAAGCCTATTGGTCCATATTTCTTGATGCTTCTATATTGGAGCGGAGTCTTGAGGTGGGTAGAATGTAGTTGTGCATTAATTGGCTGTTGATTGCTGGTGTTGACTTCTTAATGTGTAGTGCCTCGCAAACGTCAAGCCGCCTGCTATCGCTGTATCTATCGATGATTTCTGTGTTGTTTACTAGGATTTCTCTGGCGATGGTTTGGTTGTGGGAAGAGATTATATGTTCCTTAATGGAGCCCTGTTGTTTATGCATCGTTAAACGCCTAGAAAGAGATGTTGTTGTCTTGCCTATATACTGGGTTTTTTGGAGCTTACAGTCCCCAAGTGGGCATTTGAAGGCATAGACGACGTTGGTCTCTTTTAAAGCGTTCTGCTTTGTGCCTGGAGAGTTCCTCATGAGTAGGCTGGCCGTTTTTCTGGTTTTATAGTAAATTGTCAGTTGTATCCTCTGATTTTTGTCTGTAGGGATAACGTTTCTATTAACAATATCTTTCAGGACCCTTTCCTCTGTTTTATGAGCTGTGGAAAAGAAGTTCCTGTAAAATAGTCTAATAGGGGGTATAGGTGTTGTGTTAGTTGTCTCTTCAAAGGTTGCATGGCGTTTCACTTTCCTTCTTATGATGTCTTCGACGAAACCATTGGAGAAGCCGTTGTTGACTAGGACCTGCCTTACCCTACAGAGTTCTGTAGGGTAAGATACCTTAGATACCTGTAGATACCTTACAAGCAGAACTTATTGCAGAAGGAGGAAAGAATCGAGGCAATTACAGAAGCACCATACTGTCCCCCGTGCTCAAAGCGGCAGCTAAAAGCGTTCGTGAGAACAAGGAGATAGTTGTCAGGAGAGGTGACAAGTCGCCAATATATGTCATTCTTAAAAAAAGACGAATATCTGGCGAAAATGAACCTCATACTCTCTGACCAAACTAAGTTCCAAAGGGTAACGAAGGACACTACAGCCGAATTGAAAGCAAAGGTCAACAAACTGATCGAAACTGTGAACGCCAAGAAATCCGGACTCCACCTGCCAAAGATCATTGGGGAATATAAACCTGGATATGCTTATGGAAATGTCAAGACACACAAGCCTGGAAACCCACTTCGGCCAATCATTAGCCAGATACCCACACCCACGTACTGACTGGCGAAGCGACTCAACAGCCTGCTGACTCCTTATGTTCCTTGCGCCTTCAGCCTGAAGTCTCCAAAGGAATTTGTTGACTTACTGCAGGGCACACGGGCCACAGGGATAAGAGCCTCGTTGGACGTAGAATCGCTGTTTACCAACGTACCTGTGGACGAGACAATCGGGATGATAGCCGACAGAGTGTATCGTGATCCAGCCTGTACTCCTCTTGACATACCCGAAAATATTCTAAGGAAACTACTTCAAGCTTGTACTAAAGAGGCACCCTTCTTGAGCCCGGATGGGCACATGTATAAGCAAGTAGATGGGGTCGCCATAGGTTCTCCCCTAGGTGTCCTGTTTGCAAACTTCTACATGAGTACCATCGAGCAAAAAGTCTTAGTCGACATGAACTTGAAACCGGCCATATACTGCAGGTATGTTGACGACATTTTTACACAGGTACCTGATGTCAGACATCTGCAGGAGCTGAAGGAGGCATTTGAGCAGAGTTCTGCGCTGCGTTTCACTTACGAGATGGAAAAGGATGGGAAGCTGCCCTTTCTAGATGTAACAGTCACGGAAAAGAGCGGAGGTTTCCACACTGCAGTCTACACTAAGGAAACGAGCATAGGAATGTGCCTAAATGCCAACAGCGACTGCCCAGACAGGTACAAGAGGAGTGTTGTTAACGCATATGTCGACCGTGCTCTAAGCCACAGCTCAGAATGGAAGCAAGTCGACGAAGAACTCTGTAGGGTAAGGCAGGTCCTAGTCAACAACGGCTTCTCCAATGGTTTCGTCGAAGACATCATAAGAAGGAAAGTGAAACGCCATGCAACCTCTGAAGAGACAACCAACACAACACCTATACCCCCTATTAGACTATTTTACAGGAACTTCTTTTCCACAGCTCATAAAACAAAGGAAAGGGTCCTGAAAGATATTGTTAATAGAAACGTTATCCCTACTGACAAAAATCAGAGGATACAACTGACGATTTACTATAAAACCAGAAAACGGCCAGCCTACTCATGAGAAACTCTCCAGACACAAAACAGAACGATTTAAAAGAGACTAACGTCGTCTATGCCTTCAAATGGCCTCTTGGGGACTGTAAGCTCCAAAAAAACCAGTATATAGGCAAGACAGCAACATCTCTTTCTAGGCGTTTAACGATGCATAAGCAACAGGTCTCCATTAAGGAACATATAATCTCTTCCCACAACCAAACCATCGCCAGAGAAATCCTAGTAAACAACACAGAAATCATCGATAGATACAGCGATAGCAGGCGGCTTGACGTTTGCGAGGCATTACACATCAAGAAGTCAACACCAGCAATCAAGAGCCAATTAATGCACAACTATATTCTACCCACCTCAAGACTCCGCTCCAATATAGAAGCATCAAGAAATATGGACCAATAGGCTTTCTACAATCACTTCCATTCAATACCCATTGTTTCGTGTTTGGTCTTGTGTTGATTAAATTAATACCTTATTAAATACCACCTCACCCCATCCACCTCACTCAAATGTAGATATAAACAAAATCGGAGATGTGTAAGTCCTATTCAGTTGTGTATGTGTTAACTAAAGTCTTTGAAAATGTAATAAGTTTTACGAAACGCGCTCAAGTGTCGCATCAGACTAGAAATAAAAATGAATTTTGGAGAATTGATTTTTGAATTACCTCCAACAGTGAAAACAAATGTACGAAAGATTGAGAAAATTCGTGTTAGAATTATTAATCATACTTTTTCGGTCATATTTAATAATATATGTCTACAGGAAAGACTGCTACCAAAATATACTTATATATATATATATATATATATATATATATATATATATATATATATATATATATATATATATTAAGATGAATAGGAAAACCAGGGATATACTGAACATCTTGTTTCAGATTCTTTACTTTAAAATGCATAACGTTTCGAATACTTCTCGTATTCATCATCAGATCTAAAAGAAAAAACAGAAATCACAATCAAATAACTAGTAAACAAAGAACTCATACTGAATATAATTGCCTATCAAAGAAAGGAAAATGCTTAAAAAACAAAACACTTAAGCGCACTTAAAGTGATCAATACAAATAAAACTTATTAACTGTTATATATATAAAAGCTAATTTAAAAATCCATTAGACTACAAGACGAAATTTATAACTACTAAAACAAACCATTCTATTAAACTTACGTGAAGTGATCAGAAGTGAAACTTGATACCTAACACATAGATACTAAACACAATAACAAATATTCATATAATGACTACAAATCTACAAAAAATGTATATAAAATACAAACAGAATAAACGACAATTATAAAGTACTAACCAAAATCTTATAAAAACTCAAATATTAAATAAAATTAAATACCAAAAAATGTATTATATATCCTAAATAAAATATTATAATAATGTACAATGTCAAGACTTGAAATAAGTAAGAAAGGGAG